TTATTTAGAATATGTTAATAAATATGTTATGTGGAATTCATCCATAAACTTTATCGTCCTTCAAGCAATAACGATAATCGTAATCAAGTGATATCGTTATTTACACCATTTTATCGACTTTATTATTAAATAATCCCGGAAAAATCGTAATGAATTTCATTTTTATTATAGTAAAATAGAATTCGAATAATAATTAAAATGAATAATAAACTCGTTTTTTCAATCGTTACAATGGATTAAATTTTCAAAATAAGGTAAACCTTGAAGGAAAATTTCTTTAGTAGAAAACAAAAGAGAGTATTTTTATAAAACAATAAGTTAAAAGGGAAGTACAGTGAACTCATTCAGGACGTGGTAATGAGACAAAATGACATCCGTAGTCTGTATCCAATGGCCATGATTACATGCAAACTATCCATTTTTATTTGTGAAGTAGGAATAGTGGCGAAATATGTCTATATGCGCATCAGAAAACTATTATAATCGGTCAAGAAGTTATTATTTAATATTTAATTCGAGAAAAAAGAAATCAAATAGTTTCGGTTGAAGTAAACAAACATATATAGGCCTATATATATATATATATAACACGTGGCTAGAAACACCCTTTTCTAATCTGGTTGTGAGGTAAGTCACATAAGTTTTTTTTTTTTTTTTAACTTTTATTTATAATAGTTAAGTAATAAATCTTTATTTTTTTTATTTATATTTTAAACAATTCTTTGAAGTAAGTTTTAATATAATTATAGTACAATCAACTGTAAAAATTATCGAAAAAATCGAGTAATTTTTCGATGACTTCTCTAAAATAGAAAATTGATAATATAATTATAATAATATATATAAAAATGCCGATTAAACCTTTAAAGAATATTTAAATCGTTCTTATAATTATATTTTATCCAATTTTAAATGGTTACAAATGTTGAATTAACAAAGGATGGTGTTATATTATCGATAGAATCATAAACACTTCTCAATTTTTTTTACTAAAATGTGTATAAATTTTCGTATAAAATGTTAATTACCTTTACTAATTCGTAAATTTTTAATATATAGAATGGTTTTTTTTTAATTTTAATTACAAATTAAGCGTTAAGTTCAAGAGAAAATGTATTGTACTTATGTAATAAAGATCCAATTGTGTCTTTTACCATATTATTTTTTTGTTTACAAGTCAATTTATCTTCACTAAACCATTTTATTTATGATTATATAATAAGTAAAAATAGCTAAATTGTACATATTTGCATCCTAAATAGATTTAATCAATAAAAGTAGTTAACAGTAAACGAAATCTGATGCGCAGTTATAGTTTAAAAAATTTAATATAAGAATTTTCTTATTAAATGATCTTGAACATCTATTGGATAAAACGATACGAAATGAATTCGGAATTATTGAATGAACTCTGTTCCTTAGGCTAATAAATATTGGAGAGTGCTGACAGTCACGATAAGCTCTTACGTGTCAACACTCCCCACATTCTGGTATTTTGAACTACAAACGTCGATCTTCTAAGAATTTCTTTCTTATTCCTGCTCTGGGTAAGATCGTTTTAATATACTGTTCTATACAGTAAATATTAATAATTCTATTAAATTTCTAAAATTTTTATTCGTTTTACAACAGTCTTTACATTTATATATACACAGTCGACCCCCCCTATAACACTGTTGATTTTTCCGTTTTATATGAATTCCATGTTGTACGAGTCATTTAGATTTTACAAATACGTGTGTCGGGCTGTGAATTGCTCACGTATTTGTAAAATCTAAGCGACTCGTACAACATGGAATTCATATAAAACGGAAAAATCAACAGTGTTATAGGGGGGGTCGACTGGTACATAACTTTTAGTGTGTAATTATTAAATTGTTTAAAATAAATTAAATTGTCGTTAAAATAATTAATTAAAGTATACAATTTTTATTAAATAATATCATTAAATTAAGTAAAATCTTAATATACAGTAGACCCCCCATAACACTGTAGATAATTTCGTGTTATATGAATTCCACGTTGTATGAGTCACTTAGATTTTACAAATACATGAGCTGTTCACAGCCTGGCACACATATTTGTAAAATCTAAGTGACTCGTACAACATGGAATTCATATAACATGGAATTATCTACAGTGTTATGGGGGGGTCTACTGTTATATTAAAGAAGAAAACTTTTTAAACTTATTTATAATAGTAAAAAAAAAATATTTTTCTATAGCCAAATTTATAATTTTAATGGCATTAAAATTATCTTAAATTCTATATTTTTCCATAATAATTCTACGAATATCTTTATGTATACATTTATGTCATTCATCTCTCAATTGAAACCATACAGAATTTTTTTTTTTACACATTTAAACATGTCCTTAACCTATTTACTAATTATCCAATTATTATGTTTATATTTTGAAGGTAATGTACAAATTTTATCAAGGATTTTTTTCTCCCCTTTTTTTTTGTTTATAGATCTTAAGATAATAGAACACTTTTGTTTAAATATACTTCCTCTATTAGATAATAGGAGTAAAAAAAAAAATGTATATAAAATAATTATATTTTGTGAGAAATAATTTAAATTTTTATATAAATAAAATTTAATAATACGGAGACGATTTCCTTATAAAACAACTCGTTCTATTCGTTTCCTTTTTTCACAAATCTTACGAACAGAACTACAGAATGGTAAAATAAATGTTTAGAAATCGCTTATTTTTCACTATATTTTGCTTATTAAATAGGATATTTTCCTGCATACTCAAATTAAAATCCTACTTTAATTATCTGAAATATCCTATAACAGCTGTTTTCAATAATAACTTCTATGTTATTGATACGTTATTAAATAATAAATTCTCAATCGGGTGGATTATGTTACGAGTTATTAAAATTTCTAGGAAATTTATTATATTAATAATAAATAAAGTATGATTAAAATATTATATGCAATACTTTTTCAATTAAAAATATGCTGGATTAAACGGCATTCAGTGATAGAAAAACATGTACGACAGATAAAACGATCTTAAAAATTCGATTATTTTTATATTGCATATGCATGAAATTCTCGAAAATATATCTAATATCAATTTAAATATTATCTTTTAATATTATTTTTCAGAATTCTTCAGAAAAATTCGGTACAATATGTATATTTTAATAAAAATCTTATGCCTGTCGACATTTATACCATTCACATTGGCAGTATGTGGTTATGAGGTATTAAAAATTGCATTAATTAAAATTATATAGCTTTAATTAACGTATTTTAATCTCGATATATTACTATATTTCAGTCATGTCCCGTCCCTAAGCCCAATATGTTGAATGTCCATGTAATATGCCATACACACGATGATGTCGGATGGGTTAGGACAGTGGAAGAATATTACCAAACATGTAAGTTTAATTTTTAAAAAATATTTTACAAGAATTTATAATATATATTTTTTAATTTCAGTCGTTAAACATATATTAAATTCGGTGATACGTCATTTACTCGTTAACGAAACAAGAAAATTCATTTATGTGGAATCGGCATTTTTGTATCGATGGTGGAACGAACAATCTGAACTTTCCAAATATCTCATTAGAAAATTAATCGATGACGGTATCAAAAATACCCAATTTTTTTTATTAATTTATATTGCATTATTAAATAGTCATTTTCTTTTCTTAATCATAAGGTCAACTCGAGATAATAAGTGGAGGATGGAGTATGAATGATGAAGCTACAACTCATTATTTAGCCATCATCGATCAGATGACTTTAGGAATGAGATGGATCAACGAAACATTCGGAAAATGTGCCACTCCCAAAATTGGTTGGCAAATTGATCCATTTGGCCATTCTAGAGAACAAGCATCTATATTTGCACAGGTACAGTTGATCTCCCTATAACACTGTTGATTTTTCCGTTTTATATGAATTTCATGTTGTACGAGTCACTTAGATTTTATAAATACGTAAACCGTTCACAGCCCGCCACATGTATTTATAAAATCTAAGTGACTCGTACAACATGGAATTCATATAAAACGGAAAAATCAACAGTGTTATAGGGGGAGTCGACTGTATTAATACAAATTTTATTATTATCACTATAATTTTATGAACGTTAAATATTCCTCAGATGAAATTTGATGGATTGTTCTTGGGAAGAATAGATTATCAGGATAAGATCTTCAGGCAACAGAATAGAAGACTTGAATTTTTATGGAATACTAATCCTGGTTACAGTATGTTAAAATTATACATTGTCATCTTGTTTTATACCTTATAAAAAATAAATAAAACCTTTATTATCTTTAAGATTTAGACACTAAACTCTTCACTGGAATTCTTCCGAATGTATATTGGCCACCTCAAGGATTCTGTTTCGATGATTTGTGTGGAGAACCAGAAATAACGGTAATACATAACTTTTTACATTAAAAAAAAAAACTTATATATTAAAAAAACTTAATGTAAAAATATTTGATGTTCTTTAGAGTTTTAACATTAATCGCAAAGCCAGGCAACTTATGGATGTTATAAGATACCAAGTAAGAGAAAAGAAATGCTATAAAATTAATAAATATTTCTTTATAATTTTACATTATAAAATCTAATTTAGGCGAATTATTATCGCACAAATCATACTGTTTTAACAATGGGAATGGATTTTCATTATCGGGATGCGGATCGTTGGTTTAGGAATTTAGACAAGCTTATGGCATTCATAAACAATTTGGTAAGTTGGTATATTAAATATATTCAAAAATTAATTATAATTTATTTAAAAATGTATTAAAATTCTAAAAAATTTCAGCAAGAATCTGGTAGCAACATTAACATTTTTTATTCGACTCCTTCTTGTTATTTACATTCTTTAAATCAAGCAAATTTAACTTGGCCTACTTTTACTGAAGATTTTTTTCCATATGCCAGCGATCCAGATGCATATTGGACAGGTTATTATAGTAGTAAGCCAGCTATTAAGAGATTTACACGTTATTCAAATGGATTTCTTCAGGTAAAACATCTCTAAAATTTACCAAAAGCCAATTTTCTTTAGTTTCAGTAAAGGGTTTTACTCATTTTTCAGGCTTGCAAACAAATAATTACTCTTTCCAATATAACTGAGGATTACAGTTATAATCTACGTTAGTATTTTTATCAATTGGATGTTTTTATATTTTCCTTATACAGTCGACCCCCCTCCCCTATAACACTGTTGATTATTCCGTTTTATATGAATTCCATGTTGTACGAGTCACTTAGATTTTACNTCGACTGTAATTAATTTTTTTACTGTATTTTGTTTACAGAAAAAGCAATGGGAGTAATGCAACATCACGATGCAGTAACGTAATTATAAGATATATTTTTAATTGGCTGTCTTTTTTAATATATAATATGGAATTTATACGTCAACAGAATAATATTTTCATTCATTTTCTGGCTATTTTATTCCATTATTTAGTGGCACTGAAAAGGATTACGTTGCTAAAGATTACGCTGCCATGTTGTCGGAAGGGATAGACGATTGTGAGGTATTAAAAATATTAAAAATTGCATTAATTAAAATTATATAGCTTTAATTAACGTATTTTAATCTCGATATATTACTATATTTCAGTCATGTCCCGTCCCTAAGCCCAATATGTTGAATGTCCATGTAATATGCCATACACACGATGATGTCGGATGGGTTAGGACAGTGGAAGAATATTACCAAACATGTAAGTTTAATTTTTAAAAAATATTTTACAAGAATTTATAATATATATTTTTTAATTTCAGTCGTTAAACATATATTAAATTCGGTGATACGTCATTTACTCGTTAACGAAACAAGAAAATTCATTTATGTGGAATCGGCATTTTTGTATCGATGGTGGAACGAACAATCTGAACTTTCCAAATATCTCATTAGAAAATTAATCGATGACGGTATCAAAAATACCCAATTTTTTTTATTAATTTATATTGCATTATTAAATAGNTTTCCACTTCTAAAACAATTAAATTTCTTCTCTATGACACTATCTTCCATATAATAGACTTATATTCGGTATTTTATTTTAAATATTTTAAAAATTTATGTATAATTTGTGTTTGATGATACTCAAAAGGCATCTGAATAGATCTGTGTATTATTTTATTATGCAGTTTATCCATTGAATTTATATATATTACACATCAAAGCAGTGTCAGAATTGTATAGTTAAAAGTCTTTAAAAAATCAGTTTAAAGTATTGGATTTTCTTTGAATATACTTTATTAATGTACTGTATTTTATGGCATATAAGACACATTCCTATTTCTGCACTTTATGGGGGAGTATTTAGCGTAATTATTATTAGCGAGATTGCGGCCGAAGTTCTCAACGTAAAAACGTGAACGTCGGACGTTCAGCGCCACCTTCCTGTAAGCCTAGAAGTTTGACAATGGCGTTTGGAACGTCTAGAGGTTTGACAATGGCGTTTGGAACGTCTAGA